CAATAACTCAGGCAATGCAAAGCAATTAGACTCTTGTCATGAGGCATGCCAGCTCATTTCCATATAAAATGAAAATGAAATGTAATAGGAGATACCACTGGAACTTGCAACTTGAACCAATTACCTTTCAATGTAAACTCCTCCTTAGTCTTCTAACCAATATTGCATCACTATTAGAAATCTCATTAATATTAACCTGCAATATTATTATGCACCGTAATTACATACATAGCCTGATGCAAGTGTTGATCCACACCATAGTTTTATTTTTAGTACCGGTATCCAATCAAAATGTGCCAGGAGAAATGTCAATTTCACATAATTTAACAACAAGCTAAATATAGTTACAATCACTAAATCTATAATTATTTAATTATATATAGCATTAGTTAACCAAAATATAAAAAAAATACATTAAATATGGCATGCATACTCTAAAAATAGCTAGAAATAGCCAATCAAAGTTACAACCATAAAGGTAGTTGTAGGACACAGACGTTTAATAACATTCATTTAATAACATCAGCGGACAAATCTACCGTGACGTAGGGCTCTAAAACAATAGATTTGATGATGTCACAGTAGATTTCACGCGGAAAAGGACTCGGGACCGATGCATTCACTGAGGCAAAATGGCTGAAAATCGATGCAAACCAAATCTCAGTGTGACCAGATATTTTGCAAAGCAATTACTAAATAAGCATGCAAAAAATTGCCAAAACGTAGAAAAAATTACTAAATTTCTGCGGTCAACCAAAGTGGTCTGAAAATCAATAAAACATCTCAGCAAAACAAAATCAGTAAAACGCTTTCCATCACTGAAACTATGTTTTTTCCATGTTTTTCTTTCTCACTTGTACTTTTTGGTTGCAATTGTGCAAAATGCAAATATGACGCCGCATCAGGCGTGAGTGATGATCAGCAGGATTCCGGCGATTCAGCTCGACAGCTTGGGCCAGCAGCTTGCAATTTGGATGTACAGCTTTGCAAGCATGGAAATGCAACTGTTCTCATTGAACTTTTGAATAACAGGTTGTGTCATGGTGTATTTAGTTGAATGTCATGGGATAACCAAAATATTACTAACTTTAAGAGAAATTACTAAAAAAATTACCAAAAATTTTCAATTACCAGAAAAGTCAGAAAAACCGCGAAATATTACCAAAAGTAATTTAAATTACCAAATCTGGTCACACTGCCAAATCTACCGTGACGTAGGTAATGCACAGGTGGCCCAATCTCTGAACGTCCTATATATTTTGAATATTTAACCGTTATAATATTTTAAAATAACAAAATAATTCAAAAAATATTAACAATATATGTAAAAAATATATATCACTTGTTAATAGAATCCATTTGTTGTGTTTCTGAGT